TACATGACCAAGCTGGCCATCTCCCATGCCTTAGCACAGAGTGTCAAGGTAAGAGACCATTGCCGGTCGAGGGGAGTGCTCGGTGACTAACATTCCGGGCAGACGTCGCTTTTTGAGGAACTGATCGCTTCCACTGTCGACACGTGCAAAGATATCCCTACCCAGATCGCGCTGACGGGTAAGATCGCCCTCAGCCGCACACAAATCAACATGCAGATTGGCGAGCTCTTCATCCTCCGCATCAACATTCATCTCAACGGCTCGGTCCTGGACACGCCGGAGCTGTTTTGGGTCGAGCCGCAGCTGGAACCGGTGTACCAGGCCGTCCGTACCTACCTGGAGATGGACCAACGTGTCGGGCTTCTGAACGAACGTCTGGACGTCATCGCGGACTTGCTGGCGGTCCTCAAAGACCAGCTCAGTCACGGGCATGGAGAGAAGTTGGAGTGGATTGGTAGGTCGGCCCCTCTCTTGATCATGCTGTGCGGCCTTTGCTGATAGCTTCACCACAGTCATTGTACTCATTGCGGCCGAGATTGTCGTCGCAGCCATCAACATTGTGGTGGATTTGTATGCATCAGATTAGCAACACTTGTGGTATGCATACAATAAGGATCAGGACTCTCTTTTGCACAGCGGTCCTTCACAGGCGGGAAATCTCAGCGATCCGGCAGGTACTTCACAACAGGGCACACAGAACACCCACAAGCACCATCATGTGGCGCTATAGAGAATGAGCTTCACGGCGCAGATCACGCAGTTGGGGGAAGGGTGTAAACCAAGCGGCTGCAATAACTCCATTTACAGGAGTCGATAATGCTGTCTCGAATTGTACAAATAAACAAGGAATTTTCTACCCGCACAGTCCCTCCCCAACGCCAAAACCTGTCGCACGGAGGATGTGCTGCGTCGTATCAATCATCCGCCTTGTCGTCCTTGTCGTCGGCCGCGGGCGTGTCGTCTGCCTGCTCCTCGGTATCGTAGTTGCCCATCTCTACATCCTCGTCTTGTGACGCAGCTGGTGCCGGCTCTGGTGACTTGTCGCGATCTTCCTCGTCTTCGTCCTTGGACTCGGCAGCCTTGCTCTTGGCCGCGAATGCGTCCTTTTCCTTTTGGTACTTGGCCATCTCCTCCTCGGAGCGGGTCTGAAACTCCTCCTTTTCGCCCTCGGGGAGATCCTTCCAGCCGCGGGCGAGCTCTTCTTCAATGTTGGCATCGGCGTCGTCCTTGTTCTTCTCCTCGAGAGCCGGTCGCGTGTCGGCGCAGTACAGCTCGAAGGCGTTCCCGGGACGCTTGGGGGGCTTCACGACGCCGTTGGTGCGCGCCGACGCCTGGGTGTCGGTGCCCTGGGTCGCGTCGCCGCCCTGGGTGTGGGAGAAGGTCTCGGAGCTGGGCGAGACGGTGGCGGCGGTCTGGCTGAGCGGCCTGGAATTGGCCTTGGCGGCGGAGTCGATCTCGGCGAGGACCGAGGGCTTTCGGTGACCGCGTTTCGTACGCAGAGGCTTTTCTTGCGGCTGAGATGGTGTCAGCATCCTGCTTTGTCGTCGAGGTGGGCTTGGCGGAGGGACTACAGTCGGGGGCGGGCTCGGGCTGCCGTCTGAATCCTCCACGTTGGCGCTCGTTCTCTTGGCCAACTGTTCGAGCAGGAAAGCTCTTTCCATCCGCAACTTCTCAATCTGTCGTCGAATCCGGGCGAGGCGAACGCGGGTCGCGTCGTTTTCCTCCTCGACCTCGCCGGTGCGCTGCTTGAGCTGGATACATTTTCTCCGATAGGCCTCTTCGACGGAGGGAGGTAGGGAAGGCGGGATCGCTGAGAGGTCGATCGCAGGGGGGTTAGCTCGAATGATCTTTTTGGGAGGCATTGTGCGGGTTGTCCGGAGTTTGTTCGTATCGAATGTGAAGAGGGGAGAGAATTGGCTTTTTTTTCCCCGGGCAAGGTAGGGGGGATGAGTTGCGACGGGATGGGGTTCGCGGCGGATGTCAAGCGGAGCTCTGCGAGGACGGCAGGTTCATTGATTTCCAAGGGAGTTACAAACGTACCGGATTGCGGAGCCATTATTACGTATCTGCAAAGGTCAAAGGTGATGAGGGTAGTACAGGGCACGCCAAACGGACGAAGGAGATGAGTTGAGGCTTGATTGCGACGCGGATCTGACGATTGCAGAGTGAAATTGGGTGAAGATGCCCTGGGCCGGGGGCAGCGCGAGAGAATGGGCGATTGTCGCCAGGAATCAACACGCAGCAAACACCCCAGGACCGCGCCAGCTGGGAAGTGCGAGGCTGGCAGCTGCTGTCTCACATAACAGGAACCTGGAAGCAGGGGTTCCAGTGTTCCTCTCCGTGTCCGGGAGACGGGGCCACAGCTTACAGGCGCTGGAACCACCCCCGAAATTTAGAATGCACCAGATGCGCCGGATCGGAACAATGGCACGCCTGCAGCGTCGTGATTGGTCATCCCCGGTGCCAACCCACCAAGGCTGCAGCAATACGCTCCCGCACCACACACGCCTTGCACCCAGACTTTTTTTCGAAAGGCCTTGAAGGAGCTCCCGCAACCACTGCATCAACACACAGGGTATAGTATACACTGTTGTTCTTGAGCCTCACGACCGCCAACGCCCCGATTCACGAAGCGCTTCAGGTCGGTGGTTCATCATGTCTCTCAACATCCCCAACGCGCCGAACGCCAACCTGTTCAAGCAGGGGTACAACAAGTGAGTCCCCTTTCCATCTGGAGCTCCCCTCCCCCGCCTTGCTGCCCGTCACCGACTGACCCCTCCTACCAGCTACGATTCCGAAGATGGAGCCGTCCTTCGCAACATCGACGCCTGCCGGGCCATCTCCTCGACCGTCCAGACGTCTCTTGGCCCCTACGGCCGCAACAAGATTGTCATTAACCACCTCCAGAAGATGATCCTCACCTCAGACGCCGCCACCATCCTCAGAGAACTCGATGTCGTCCACCCGGCAGCCAAGCTCCTGGTCATGGCCAGTCAACAGCAAGAGGCGGAAATGGGCGATGCGACCAATTTGGTCATCGTCCTCGCCGGCGAGCTGCTGAAGAAGGCCGAGGACCTGCTGCGTATGGGCTTGAAGACGTCAGATATCGTTACCGGTTACGAGCGTGCACAAAAATTCGCTCTCGAGACACTGGAGGAGCTGTCCGTCGACAAGGTGGAGGATATCCGCTCTCAGGAGGAGCTCAGCAAGGCCATCCGCACTGTCGTTGCCAGCAAGCAGAACGGCAGCGAGGACTTTTTGGCCGATCTCGTCGCCGAGGCCGTCCTGGCGGTGCTGCCCAAGAACCCCGTCGGCTTCAACGTCGACAACATCAGAGTCGTCAAGATTATGGGCGGCGCCTTGGAACAGAGCCGGGTAGTCAAGGGTATGGTTTTCCCCAAGGAGCCGGATGGATCGATCAAGAAGGCGCAGCGTGCCAAGGTTGGAGTCTTCTCCTGCCCCATCGACACCAGCCAGACTGAGACCAAGGGCACTGTTCTCCTTCACAACGCCAAGGAGATGATGGACTTCACCAAGGGCGAGGAGTCGCATCTTGAGGCTGCTATCAAGGAGCTTCACGACGTTGGCATCAGAGTGGTCGTCGCAGGCTCAACTGTCGGCGAGCTGGCCCTCCACTACCTCAACAGATTCGGCATCCTCGTCATCAAGATTCTCAGCAAGTTTGAGCTCCGCAGAATCTGCAGAGTGGTTGGCGCAACCCCCCTTGCTCGGTTAGGTGCGCCGATGCCCGATGAGATGGGTTCCATCGACGTTGTCGAGACCCTCGAGATCGGCGGAGACCGCGTGACCGTGTTCAGACAAGAGAACGAGGCCACAAGAACAGCAACCCTGGTCCTCAGAGGCGCTACTCAGAACCACCTGGATGACGTCGAGCGCGCTGTCGACGATGGTGTCAACGTCGTCAAGGCTATCACCAGAGACCCTCGCCTTGTGCCCGGTGCGGGCGCTACCGAGATCCAGCTCGTCGAGAGGCTCAATGCCCTCGGCGAGAAGACCCCTGGTTTGTCGCAATACGCCATCCGGAAGTACGGCGAGGCCTTTGAGGTCATTCCGAGAACGATTGCTGAGAGTGCCGGTCTGGATGCCACGGAGGTTCTCAGCAGGCTGTACGGAGCGCACCACAAGAAGGACGACTGGGCCACCGGTGTCGACGTCGAGGTAAGCGCGATGGTCTCGTGTTTGGTGAAACGCTATGCTAACTCTGCTAGAACGACGACGGCTCTGGCACCCTTGACGCCCGTGAAGAGGGCATCTTGGATCTGTTGGTCTCCAAGTCATGGGCCATCAAGCTCGCCACCGAGGCAGCCCGGACCGTCCTTTCCGTTGATCAGATTATTGTGGCTCGTCGGGCAGGTGGCCCCAAGCCTCCTGGCCCCAACCCCGTAAGTCCTGTTTACTGTGAGCAGCGATTTCAACGTGCTGACGATCTTTGTAGAACTGGGATGAGGACTAAATCGGTATATACGGCGGTTGGTAATGGAGTTCATGTCGGTTTTGATGATCATAGACCACCCCAAAAGTCACGTCGAGATATCCCGAATAGAGTCCAAAGACAAATGCAAGTGCGCGAGCACGCCCAAAGTGATGTCCCTCAACGTCTGAGAATCAGGTACAGTGGATGTGACCAGTCTCCACCAGGGGCTTCATGCACAGGTATGCACAGTTCGATACAGCCTCGGCTTTGACGAGCGTAGGACGCCTGCTGGATGAAATGGACTCAGTGACGCAACCGGGACAGGTGCTTGTGTCAAGAGCAACACTAGGTGGGAGTGAGTCTGAAGCATATTGATTTGAGAATAGAACGAGCCAGCTGAATCGGACAGATCTCCATTTTGGGCTGACGATGCCGCGAACCGAGCGACCGATGCGTCCTGTCCACGACAGCAAGACGCTATCTAAGCTCGCGCCTGCGATTCTCCTATCCATTCAAGCGGCGGCAACCTTGAAACCTCCTAGAATCCATAAATACCCTAGCAGGGTCACTCTTTCAGGTGCTCGAGATTCCCCGCAGGATAGCTCTCGAAGACGGGCTGGCCGATGCCTGCTTCGTGCAAGCAGTAGAACGGAAAGAACACGCCCAGGGTCTCTGACTTCTCTCTGACCCCGGTGTTGAACTCGCTGACGAAGTTATCAAAACGGCATTGTCTGCCTCATTTGTCCAGCCGTACGTCTGTTCGATCCAGCACGAAGGCGACTCGTCAATGCCTTGTATAGCACCCGGCTGGGCATTGGTCGCTTTGAGAAAGGCCGAAGTGATGGGGTTGAAAGCCACGCCGATGGTCCCTCTCTGCGTCCCCTTGAACGTGGACTTTGCAAGTCCGAAGAACAAGTCGCGGGCCACGAGCATCGCTTCCTTGTTGGCGTGGATGGGGAGCATGTGGAACCGCTGTCTCGAGCCGTAGGAACGACCACCATTTTGGAACGACGGCAAGACCACCTAGTGGTATTTTCCCATAGGAAACGGAATGAGTGACTTTGAGCTATTGTCCGGCGTGAGTATGTCACTGAGCAAATCTCCCAACACCGCCGGCGAAGTGGCGTTCCCGTTGTAAACAGCATCGAGGAGCACGTCGGCTCTTCGTTTCCGCTCACGGAGGTGATGGCGGGCAACATAGTAGCATGGCGATCGCTGTGCCCATTGATGGCGAAATTGTGAATGCCATCGACGAACTTTGGCTTGGCCTCTTCTCCACCGTACAAGGGTGACGCGATCATCACGGATGGGGCGCGGCGTGTCTGCAGATCAAAACGGGTAACCAGGCAGAAGGAGTTTCCGCCTCCTTACAGCTCCCAGAAGAGATCAGCGTGCTCGTTTGTGGGGTTGACTGCCACGATGCCGCCATCAGCCAGGATGCACTACTCTTTATGTTACCTACTTGCGACAGACTTTGGCTATTGAGGGATGCTTCCGCAAGGCATCCCACATACCTCATACGCCTTGATGTTGCCACTGGAGGACGCTTGGCCATTCTCGTAGCTGAAGGACGAGATGCCCCCTCCCAGCAAGAGACCATTGACGCCGATCGGGCTGCCTCGGCGGTCGAGGACACTGACTCCGGTGCCGTCGAGTACCGGGTAGACGAGACCACCAAAAGCCAGGGCTAATAGTCACAGTATCCCGGTTGTCGGAGACACGCCGGACGGAGCCAAGACCTCGCGGACCACGGAGCCGACTTTGAGCACATATTACGGATGTACTTGGGCAGGGAGATTTTAGAAAGCTGTCGTAGCACCACATGTAGCGCCGCCCAGTATATTGCATCGTCTACGCTTCTTTGCAGATCTACCCGGGTAGGTGATTGGCTACTACACCACTTTCACGACGCTCAGACTCGGATTCAGGTTCCTTTTGCGGGGAGCTGGCCCTGAGTAACGTCCGTATATGACGAGGGGTTACAAAAGCGAACCCGAAGAGCCCGAGGAAAGGGGCTTATACGGAAGAATCATTGTGGTTCAGAACACAAATTGACCCGATGCTGTGTCTTTCGTGATGCTTAATCTAACAGTTGTGGGCGACGGTTCCTTGGAGTTCGTCCGAGTGCAACTTCGGCCTAGAACAGGTTCACGATGGTTTGCGAATTCCGGTTCCCGCTATCCAATTCGCAAAATAAGAAATACGCCGTGATGCTCTCACAACCAAACATCTTTATGCGACCGGATGAGGATATGATTACCAACACAATTTTAGTATCTTATGACACGATAAGATAGTCGACATGTCGGCTACAGACTTGATAACTAATCCAATATACCGATATTACCCACCGGTCAGCGACCCATATATGATATATGCCCTCCTGGCTATATCCAGTTTTACATGGACAAGCTATGGATTGAAACTGAGCGATTGCAAACGTGTAAGTGTAACCCAATCCTGATCTCTCGGTGGCTGATTCGGCCTACAGGACCCGATGGACCGTAGCTGGCATGAGACATCGACCTGGAACACGCTCGATACTTCTATGCATGGCCAACTTATCCCAACTCAATCAGTAGTCATTGCGTGCTATTCAGGGCCTCTCTTCAATAACCACACGTGTGCTAAAGTCGTCTCGAACTGGGACAAGTGCACAAGCAAAGCGATCTGCGGGCATGTGTCAGGAGTCTGACAACCTTGCGTGTGCCACCAACGCCCCGCCAGCCGGCGCTGAGCAGACTTGTAGCCGCAGCTGGGGCCAGGTTCGCCTGGATGCGGACGCCGCGTTCTCTCAGAGATGAAGCACGATGCCACCCATGTCAAGGGTCACGCGATGACTGCACTGGCTCCAAAGACTGGCACCTACAGGAATGAACCCGGGAGGGACGACCCGGACTGGAAGGTCAACATTCATGGTTCCGACTATGCGCGGCACTCGAAGGCCAAACACGCTATTGACCCGAGCGGCGTGTTTTAATGTCCAACCTGTGGAAGCAGCGATGGCGGGGCGGAGGATGAATCGGGTCGCCTGTGTCGGGTGTAATGAGAAGTTGAGACGGGTGCAGAGCCTCTAGCTTTCCAGCCCAAAAGTGCTTCTGTACGAATCGTGGAAAAGGTTCCACCATTGTATTGGCATTATTGCGCCAAGGAGCAATATGTCTACGTTTTCCATAAACCTAGGGGCAAAATGATACATACAAGTCAGTCTCATACTTTGAGCCCTAGGCTGAACAAGCTCATTCCAGGACCAGCGACTGCCTACACAACCCTCGCATTCCTCCTTCTGCTGATGTCTGCCGTTCTGTCCCCTTCTGGGTATCCCCAGACATCGACACCGCAAGTGCCCCATCTCCGCCACCAGCGGTAGCCATACGAGACTCCCTTTGTGGCCGTCCAGTGGTTGTTTGGGGTTTTGCGAACCTGAGGGCGGCCATGCATGCCTGAAAGTTCAGTATCAGCCAAAAATTCTCCAGAATCCATGGCACACTACTCACATCTCCCTTTGTACTTCCTCGTTTGAGGCCGCTTTGTGAACTTGCGGCACTTGGAGCAATACCGCCGGTCTCCCATCGACTCCCGCAGTCTAGCGTACAGCGGACACGTGGTACATGAGCAGTGCCTACACCACTGCCGCCGACACATTGCGTGGCCGTCGGGATACGATCGGCAAGGCGACCAGTTCAAGCATTCGCTCGGAGTGTTGGTATGCTTGTAGACGTGGCGCTTCTTGCGGTGCCAGTAACTGTCTTGGACGACGGCGATCGCCTGAGCATCGCCGCACTTACACTTTAGTGCTTCTGGACAATATGCTTGGTCGTAGGAAAACAGGGATGGCTTTGCCGGGATCATGGGGAGCGTCAGAGCGCGGAGAGAGTGTGAGGCGAGGGAAAGGCAGACGAGGTCGTTTTGCTGGCAGTGCGATAAGACTTCGAGTTGAAGCTCGGGCGGGAGTTTGGTGAAGAGGGTGAATGAGAACTGTGATAATGGTTGTGAAATGTGTACAGAGGGGGCTGTTCTGTACATGGCTGAAGAAGTGTATAAGAAATCGAGATGATTACAAGGTTGATGAGGGCCTGGAAAGAAGGCTATGCCCTGATATAGAAGAGATACTTTACGGGCGATGCGAATTGTCAAATAACTCACAGAAAGTGAGGTTCAATTTGCGTGCTTATGTATTCAACGATGAGCTGCCATGCGCAGGGGTCCAGGTGGCCGCTAGTGTGTGCTGCCTATTGCCAAGTCGGCCGGCCCACTCCATCTGCCTAAACACCACGCGATGCATGCAAGCGCTAGTGTAGGACATAGGACGGGGAAGACTGAGGTGAAGATGAGAAGAATGAGATTGATTTTGTTACTATATCTCCCTTCGTTTTATCTAAAGTCTTTATAGTCCGACAATATACACCAACTTTTTGATCAAAATAAATTGGCGTTCGAGCAGCTCAGGGCGAGCTATTACATATCGCTGCTCCATGAAGGATAAGGGACGCACTGGCATTGACAGCTTACAACAAGACAGACTACCCATATCAAACAATGCATGAGTAGGAAATTAAAAAATAAAAAAAATCAAGCAGAGATAGGTAGTAGGCACCTTACCATGGAAGCAGGTACTTTGAATAACGTCAAGCGAACCTTGCACGTGTGATTCCCGATTGGGATGCGACGATTGGCTGTCGAAAATCCCGGCAACGTGGATCACTCCTTGCCCACATCTAGGTACGTATCTTCCGGATTCTACATAGCATGTGCAAGCAGACAGGCATCTCAAAGAACCAAATAGCATCAAAACTCAGCAAAGCAGCACTTTTCCCTACGTACCTACCTTCATATCCACCTCATTCATACACCGTTTTTCACAAACACTCTTTGAATCAAACAACAGACAGCTCTCTGCTGAACGGCGCATGAGATTGGATTGTTTACTCTGGATTTCGTCTCCCAAGTGGGCTGGAGACGCATACTGTGGAGTGTCTGACAAGACGTCAGAGTATCACCGATAACTTGAGGTTTGACTCTTGAGGTTGCCTGGAAATAGGAACTATGGTATCATTCTCATGTCACATGTGGCACGAAAATATAGCTTCAATGTTTTGCAGGTTTGCAAAAGTTTCTTTCTCGGAGTCAACGAAATGCTGCAAAGATGTAGCATCTCCATCATATCGAAGGGAAGTTGATTCGATCGAGCTCGGTCTGGACTTCACAGTCGACCAGGTCGCATCCCCGCTGATCCTCGACACCCCAGCCCACCGAAACCTTGGGAACCATGTCCCGTAGCTGGCGGACTCCACATCGAGGACGGCCAAGAGCGTGGTCTCCCTGCTCGTCGTCTGATTCCTCGCGGCGGGATTGGCTGCCCAGTCGTAGTGATTCGTGTACCGCTGCCCCTCCAGCTACCGCGTCACTTGCAACGAGGTCCACGCAACCCTGAAACTCCGAAGAGCGGGACCTGATGCATTGGATGACAGAATCGTCCAAAGACAGATACGCTGTGGAACTGGTTCGTTCCTGCTTAGCAATGGATCGCCCGTCAGTACTGATGGTGCGAGACCGTTAAAACCCGGGTCGCCTGCTTGAGTCAGTCGGCAATATACCCCGACTTCTACCCTCAGGAGCTTTGACGTACGCGATTTATAAAGTTGCTAGGCCCCCTTAGGAAAGTTCTCGATATGTTGAATAAGCAGATCATACGACAACGCCAGGATAGCATAGCGCGGGAGCGGACAAGAGTTGCCGAGTGGAATCTGGGGCAAAGTCTTGGACCGAGAAATAGCGCAGAACACTGCAGCAAAAAGAACCCTGGTGAAAGACATGGACAAGAAGTGGTTGAAAGCCATTGTGTGTAGAGGGCGGAACGGGCTGACTGAAAGAGTTTGAGTAGAAGTTTCTGATCACGCTTTACAGGAGGTTGAAACGCGAAGGCCAATCTCGTGGGCCTGGCGAATATCTGCCTTATATGCCCGATGGAGAGGCTTCACGCTGAAAAAGCTGACGACTCATGCTGTGGACTCGGGAAAATCGAACAACCCTCCGCTTTATGGCGCGACTTTATTGGTCTTGGCCTGCTGTGATGCCCCAGTGGCAGCAATAGACATCACGAGATTTAAGTACGATAATAAGAAGATGATTGTGAAGAATCAGTGTAGCGTATGAGGATGAGAGTCTCTTGTCAATAACGTCTGATTGCGACGGTTCATATACCATTCAAATTATCCTAATATCCTCTACGCTCTCATAAAGTTTCAAAAGGATTAGCCGCTAATTGGTATAGTGAGGGCGGTTTATATAACCACAATTGAATATGTAATGATCGTGAGGTTGGCAATAGCGGCGTATTTCAGTGGCTGGGCATGCCCAAACAAATGGGGTAGGTTTAGAAAAGAAATTAGATATCAAGGCATTTAATCAATTGAGGGCTGGACAACGGGCGGCTGTCCCCGCCATGCTGCCGTATCAGCGCCGTCGCCGATTCGCTCGTTGACACCCCAACCCGCGCCGAGAGCGCGAAACGCAACGACGCTATCACGGACAGGAAGTTCGCGACGGCGTGGTCAGTGACGAAAGCACCCATGTCCGTCGGACCGATGGCATGAATTCTGTATCTCGAACGAATGAAAGTATTGATGAGTTTCCTTTGCAACACTTCCAGAGCCCGCAAGTCGGTATGCAAAACGGGCAAAGACTAAGGGCGCTGTGCCAGCAACACATTGTGTAACATGCAGACTACACGGTGACTCTTACCAGAGCGCTCTGGTACCAACGTCTCGGCTTGTGTCCATGCCAACATGAAGAGGGCCATCCTAGAGGGAGAAAGATGCATGGAAGCCTCAGAGAGGACTTGCCCCAACACCACTGTGAGAATTCAGTCGCAACCAAACATACCCACACATCCTTTTCTGAACCGAGGAGACCTCAAGTCATCACCATAGTCAAACAAGTCATATCAGCAGTCACTCGGGAGTGCTGCTCAACCCGAGAAGGCATACAATCAGCATCCGTCACCATCACACAGTTCACTAGAGGTCGATATGGCATGTCGACGGCAAGTAGTATTGCTCTAATCTTCCACACGTCCGTGTCGTTCATTCCCAAACATGTACAAGAAGCGTGCTTTTTCGCAGCCGAATCCACTTCCCTTCCCCGTCATCCAATTCCCCTCCTTCCGTTCTCCGGACATCAGTGACATGACAATAAGAAGCGAAATTACATGATTTGTAGGGCTCTCGGTGACATTGCAACGCGAGAAAGCTTCATGAGATGCGACAGTACGACGATTGTCTCCTAAGACAGACACTCTCGTAGCCAAAGACGTAGTAGGTAGGAAAGAAATAACATCTCAAAAAGAACATGTGTGGTATCTTTCCGGCAAAGCATGCTGCGGTGCGGTAAAGACGTGAGCAAAGCAGCTATATCGGTAACAAGAAAAAAAAAAACTAGCTGTAGATCAGGGGGTATGAGGTTTGGCAAAGATGAGCCCGTGCCAGGTAACGACCGTAAGAAGATGTTTTCCAAGGAACCAATACGCCGCCGCCTGGTCGTTTTCAGGCAGTCCAAGTGTTCCCATAAAGTCAGAGGAAAGTATGGCACAATGAGGAGATCCATTCAAGCCTCCTCCATTATGCCGCCCTCCCCGCCACCCTCCTCGCGCCACTCACGGCTCTTGCTAGTCAGCTTCTTGACACCCGCAACGCGACCAGACCAAAGGGACTCAATTGGCGTGCGGAAGGTAAAGGCTCGCTGGGAGCTGATGACTCCGATTGCCTGGAGCACAGCTTTGCGGCTGTCGCGGCCAAAGACAGCAGGGTGGCTGATCCATTCGAGACTGCTCTCGAGCTCGTGGTCCAGAGCGGCAACGGTGTTGGCATCGATACCGGCACCCAGACCGAGACCATCGTTGGACCGACTGCGCCCAATCCCAGCGGCCTGGTAGCCGTTGACGCCGGAGGAGTTGGCCGATTGCGTAGGAGATGGTGTTTGTTTTCTGTCGGGAGTGATGGAGGGTGAGCCGTCGTTCCCCAGGTGCGGGGTGGAAGGGAGGGATCTGGTTGGCGGTGCTGTCGGCGGAGGAATCGGAGGGAGACCACCTTTTCCAAGACCCTTCAAAATAGATCGCGTCTCGTTGAGTAGGGTGTGCGCTCGGTCATGCTGGCCGCGCGACACGAGGGTCAAGGCGCGAGTGAGCATGTCTGATGTCAGCAGCTCCATGCGCCGCTGGACAATGTGCGGGTGAGGGGGAATCGGGGGCGATCCTGCCCACGAGTTGGAGTTCTTGTTCTTCGCCAGGGCCGGGAGCATAGTGATGGCGAGCAGAGAAGGGCGGGGAAGATGGGACAGCGTGCCATCCCGGAGGATGTCTCCCCACGTGAGATCCGCCTGGATTAGAGGAACCTCTTCCACAGACGTCACCCGCTGGTCGTCGCCGTCGCCAGCTCCGCCGAGCGCCTCCAGGCCAGAGACGATGTTGTCCCAAGGGTCCTGAGGCAGTTGTTCCTGGGATGTGTTATCCGGCACGATGACAAGCTGCACCAGCACGTCGCGCTTGTCGCCAAATCTAAGATCGCCGAGGGACGCCTCAGCATCGCGACCCGTGGCGCGCTTGGTAATCTGCAAGGCACCGCTGATCTTGTGGAACTTGGCTGGAGATCCTTCGGGCAGCTTCAGCTTGAGCTTCACATTTTGGTGAGAGAGCGTCTGCATGGCGCCGAGGCAGCCGGCGAGGCACTCGCGAAGCATCATCCAGTCCTTGACGTAGGTGTAGGACGCCTTGGTGCGCGTAGAAAGCTCAATCATGGTGTCGGGCTTGTGAGTCATGCCGAGGCCGAAAGAGTGAATGGTGATCTTGGCTGCTTCGGCTCTCGACACCACAAAGTCGACGCTATCGGCATCCAACGTGGACGCGTCGCTGATGAGCATAATGGTGGCGATCGGGTTGTTGTACTTGCGCTGCATGAGCAAGTCCATGGCGACATTCGCGCCCTCAACCACGTCGGCGCGGTGACTTTTTTGTCCAACCGGCTTAATGGAGCCCAGGACATTGCCCCAGCCGGGCCATGCCTTGGTGGTCATGCCCACAATGGGCACGCCGCCGCCGCCCGATCCAAAGGTGACTAGACCCATCCTATCTCTCTCACCAAGTGTGTTGACCATGAACTTGAGGGCATCGCGAACAAGGTTGATCTTGACGCCTTGCATCGACGATGAGATGGGTACAACCACGACCACATCGATGGGTACGTGGATTGAAGCCGGCATTGTCGGGCTTCTCTGGAAGTTGGTGTACTCGGTGGGCGCCGTTGTGACGGACTTGGGGCCACCCCACGACGAGGCAATCGACGATACCCTCTGTTGTCGCGATCCACGCTGCCAGTCATCCTCGTCCGTCTCGGAAAAATCTCCTCGGTCGTACTCCGGGCTGCGGACCGGCGAGGTCTCGACGGCGTTCAGGTCAAGTAGCGCTTGATGCCACAGCTTGAGCTGATTGCGGTTCTCGAATCGCAAGTGGAACTGAGGGAGCTCCGCGACAGAAAGGTTGAGCGTGAGTATATTCTCATCGACTGCCGACTGGTTAGCGTCAAAATTGCAACGGAATGAGGGGAATTGGCTCACTGTTGCCCGTTTCCGAGACCTCGTTGAGATGTTTCTTGATAAGAATTGATCCTTTTAGTGTGCAGCGGGTGGTCTTCTTGGGCATGCCGTTCTCGTCCCACTGCCCCGCCAGGGCAACCTTCTTCTCCTTTACGCAGATCAACATTTCAGCGAACAGGAAGCATTCCAGCTCCTGCCAGGATGCTTTATCCTTGCCGACGCGTAGCGTGCCATATAGGCGCAGTTTGCCGAATCTGGAGTGTGTCAGTCATGTCATTGGCCAGCAACATGTTGGGAATGTGCCAAAATCTCACCTGCTGAAATCGAGCCCATGCCAGTTGTCCACCCGACTTCTGAGATTCTCGGTTTGCTCCTCCAGAACTTCCCGAGATTCGTAGGGATAGAACCGAGGCGCACTTCGGGCCGGAGATGGCGGTCGCGCAAACGCCTCGTCGATTCGGGCATTCACGGCGGGCGGGCCAGGCGGGGCTGATCCAAGATCTTCGGGATCCGGCCGCCATTTGTTATCGGGCACTTCCACGGTAATGAGGCAGGTCAATGTCTGTTGCTGCCGAGACCTGTTGATGGTGGGGAACTCGGATCGAACTGTCACCGTCGGTGCTGGAATCGGATTCCTCGTAATCGCGCGAGGGCTGCCAGGTGTAGTCTCCATCGCCTGGACGTCATAATCGTGTCTGCGTGGCGGACCGCTCTGAGTCGTTTCTGGGTAGCCACCAGAAGACGCGACGCCAGTAGCCTCGCTATCGCTGCGAGCGTGCCTCGAAGGGCCATACCGCTCGGAAGTCGGTGGTTGGCTGCTCTCCCTGTCGCGTCCAGTGCTTCGGGGCACGCTATCACGAGTGTGGGTGCTGGGCATGTTTCGCTGGCTCGACTCGATGCTTGTTGGGCGCGGAGTGGGTGCTGGGTTGTCCCATGGCGTGGCCGTGGGCGTAGGTGTGTGATTTGACCTAGTGTCGGCGGATGAGACAGATCGAACGAGGTTGCTGATTTTTTCTGTAAAAAAAACAAAAATTAGCGGTGTCTCAGGCAAGCAAGACATGGTAGTGCGCTTACCAATATCTAAGACATTGCCGCCCCGGCTCGTGTCGAGATGCAGCGGCGCATCGCACGAGGGGCAGTATTGCGATTCAAATTCGCGAATAAACTCGTAGAAACATGCTTCGTGAGACACGTGCGAGCACGAGAATTGCAGAATGCGCTCTCCGCGCAGGGTGTGCTCCAAAGGCTCCTC